TTCCTAGTGAGATAAAAATCAGCATTCAATTTAACACAGAATACCAAAATATGAACCTGAGGGAAAACAAAGTCATGATGTGCATCCCTGATGGATGGCATAAGAATCACGCGCGCTACAGAACCCATGCACTCAAGATAATCTTGAAGCTATAAATAATTAGCAAAAAAAAAATTAAAAAAAAAAAGATGAATAAAACAGTTAAGATTAAGCTGAATATGTCAATGCAACTAACTTATTTCTTTTAATTATCACCTTTTCAAGGATCTGAAGGTGAAACATTTCATCAAAGGTCTGATCAACAGTTCCTTTGCAAAGCTCTGGATGATCAGAATCAATAAATGGCCCTAGCTGTCAAAAGACAAATCCAAGAAAGACAGTATAACTTTGGCCTTTTTATTTGTTTCTATAGGCAACAAATGGAAAGCAATTATTAATACATAGTAAGGAGGTCCTCACCAGGACAAGCAACTGAGGTTGCTTTCGGCGTGCATAGGCTAGAAGCTCAGTTAGAGGCTCAAATAACAAATTATCGCTTGTAGTAAATGGACCCGCTGCAACAATCTGCTTGAAATACACATCGCCAATAAGAATCACTTGGGTTCTCATGTTTGAGCAGCAAGTAAATAATCTCAACCATGTAATATCATAATTCGGTAAAAGCAGTGCAGCAAGATAATCTCATGTTTGAGCAGCAAGTAAATAATCTCAACCATGTAAAGTCACAATTCGGTAACAACAGTGCATAAAGATAATCTCATCCAACTTCGAGTTTTCATATAAATTTCAACTCTTGTATGAATTAAGAGTAGAAGAAAAATTATCTCCCTCAACCTGGCCACACCACCAATCTAGCATGTAGGTGAAACTGATTCAGCTGAATCAGATACACAATGCTAATAGCTTCAAGAGGTTTAGTTCACTTTTAGTGAACATTGCTACTAATTAAAAATGCACATAAGCAGTCCCTTCATGCTCCAGCCATTAAATTATCTAACCGATTACGCCATCGATATATTTGAAATGAATGAGCATACACTACATGCAACTAATTGTCACATTCTTAAAATTTAAGGTTCAAGCATAATGAAAGGACACTGTATTATCATAACCATCCCAGTCATGTAATAAACTCTAGTTTTGTGGACTAGGAAATTGAAATCGTAATTCACACATCGATTCATGATGCAGCATCAAGCTTACATACCAACGACAACTCCGCCATATTGTGCGAGGGATTGGTTAACTGATGATTATGATCCAAAGCTTGTCTTTTGGTAGAGTATGGAGGATTTACAGAAAATGGCACATAATCGATAATCTTTGATGCAATGAGACAGTGACCACTAGGATTACGCCCTTCGACAGCCACTACCTGAAATGTACAAAAACTTATTCTTATACTGTGAATAGAACATAGTTATGATGAAATTTACTTCCTACAAAATCCTCATTCTAACCTGGCCTGGGAAAATAGAAAATTGATCTAACTTTAGCAAGTCAAGACGAACACGCTGCCCTCCAGAATGCTCAACACTGCCAAAACCATCAATACCACGTGTGTTAAAATAAACGCCGATACTAAAAGTCGTCGCAGGAACTGTTAGGAATTATGGTAACTTCTCCTGTTATTTTGGCTACTGAAAATAGTTCTCGTGTTGGTTAGATACATACAGGTTATTAATAGAGTTCAAAAAGACCATTGAGTCCAGCCAACAAGTCCAACTAAATAAATGTCACAGTTCTCCCCTTTGTATAATACTCAAATTCTTGAGCCTAAGCGGCAGGCTAGCATCTTCCGAATCTTATGGCGCAACATATCATGCTTTGAAATACGGATCGGATAAGACATTCCAAGGCTTGGATGTAAGTTTTAATAATTATAATAATTACAAGGTACAATACAGCTTCAATCTCTCTTTTGCCTCTCTCTTCAATCTCTCTCCACACAAATTCAAGAAACAAACTACTTGCTCTTTTCTGCAAACTATCTCTCTTTCTCCCTCTTAGGAAAAAAAAATTACATCCAATAAATACAGCCTTTTGGTATGAAAATAACAGGATTTCAGAACAAATCCATGTTTGGAGCTACACCTCAATGAATGCATCAAAGTTGCTATTTCAGTGGCTATTTTTCATTTGTTGTTTTAAATTACAAACAGATGAAATATTGTGTGCTCGAATTGTATAGTTTTGCCGTGATAGTTGCCGAACCAAAGTTCCGCACGAGGTTTAGTTAGTTTATCTAGCAAAACTTAACTTTTACCTATTTGTTTGCAGTTATATGTGAATCTCAATTATAAATGTTGCTTGTGAACTTGATCTACCTCTGCTCATATGCCTTAACTAGGATGCCCTGGGCTTTGGTGCGTCTGTCTGTGTGCGTGTTTTTTTTTTAAAAAACACTGGTGATTGCCTATTGCTCATATTTTGTTTTTTCCTAAATGTTCTTTTAACAGTATGATTGGTTGTTTTGGTTCAGTCTATAGTAACACGAGTGTTTTCTTGAAAATCAACCACGTTCTGCTTCGCGGAGAAATTGTGGAAATTAGTGAGTGACGGACAAGAAACGTAATTTAAAGGTCAACTACTGTGCTAATTCATGTTTTCACTTGAACATAGTGTTACCTAGGTAAATATGTAAATAGGTGTTGAATATGATGTCACCTATGTGCTAACTCTACATTACAACAGTATTTTATTTTTGCTATATAATTCTTTTACTTTTACAATTGTTTTTATATTAACATAAAGCACCGAGTAGTACAAGTGTGTAGTATTAGTGTTAGTTATATCCATAAGGGTCAACATTAGCATTTCAGGGAAGCTGATGAAACTGCTTCTGAGGTTGCATAAGATAAAATAATACGAGTTTAATCGTTGGTTGAAGTCCTTTGAACATTTTTTATCGCCTAACCAATTGTTAATCCCTAGAAAACAAATTTCAAGCAACCAAGGCAGGATGAACATGCACAACAAGAGCCTTTACCTGCTTTGCAGCAATACAGGCTTCTCCTTCAGACGACCTTCTTCTTCACAACAGATCATACCCACAGAAAACACGCTTTTCTGAAACGGTGCCATTTATTTAATGGAGAAAAATCATGTCAAAATTGAATTCAATCTAGAGACACTTAAATAAGATAATTGAAAGCATCACATGTCCTTGCTTCGGTGTAGTAGCTGAGTACCTGAGAAGCTACAGAAGGATCAACTGGTTCCTCATACTTCCCTGAAGATACATAAGCAGATGCCCTCCTTGTGATGCAACTTTCCAGGTAATTGAACTGAATCACATCGAAACCAGTAAGACCTCTTATAAAGATAAAGTTAACTATGGCAATAAAGGAAGGTATCAATACCTTGTCTTCCATTCTATCAAACATGAACCTGCTACCTTGCTCTGGCTGTGATGTGTTTATTCGCAAGTGACATCTTTTGCTGGGTTGAAGTCTCGTGATGATAATATCATCATCAGAATTCTCATTATGCTCTTTAACTTTAGTGCTCTCTGTGCTGGGTTGTTGATTAAGCGTTGTTTGTATGATGAACTTGTTCTTTCTTAACCCAAAGGGTGTCACTGAATCTAGAGATTTTTCTGAATTTAATTTGCTTCCATTTGATTTCTTTAATGAATCTGAGGGCATCTCATGATATGTGTTTTTATCTGCAGGAGTATCAAGTATGACTTCTTTGTCTTCATAGTTACCATCCAATATCCTGTTTGAAATTGCAGATTCCATGTGACGGAGTTCTAAGGAGATAGAAAAAACTTGGAAAAAGAAGCCCTTAAAGGTGTACAGGTTGGTCAGACTTTGCTTTCAAATAAAGCCATATCTTGCAGTCTTTGAAAATGACAATTCTAAGAAATTTACAGTTGTAGTCGTTTTAATTGAGTTATTAATCAATCCTCCAATTATCAGCACTATTAGATAGATATGAAGACTAAATAAACACTTCAATGATTACAGAAAACATAGGATCAACTTCTAAATAGAGGTACATGGCAAAGCAGTTTGTTGCAGTAAAGCATGTAAACTGAGCCTCATCCTAACTTCAGAAATTTATATAGTTCAAATTCAGAGAGACGGAACTTCAGAAGTTCAAATTCACTGAAGCCAAACTTCAGAAATTCATGTAATTCAAACTCAGAGTGGACCCTGGAAACTGTAAAAAGGACAACTCACATGGCTACATCTTTGGAGTACAAATGCAGACCGGACTCTTTTCCTCTGACTTTATCAATCTGTTCACTCTGCAGTTGTTCTAAAAATGCACCCATATGCGAACTCTGCACGGTCAAATCCAAGTTCCTGTAGAAATAGAAAATCATAATGGCAAACACGGATTATATCCGGATTCAATGTAATAATAAATTATGAATAAGAGTTCAGCAAATGGAACTTAATTTAAAAAGTAAGTTCTTTCATATTAAAAAAGGGAACTCAACGAACTCTACTCCTATGCGACACCTACCGAAATAATATTGACAGGAAAAATACTTCACGAGACCCTAACAATTGAAATCATGTGACATTTTAAACAGTGAAGACACATTTGCAGAAACAAGACTTGGTATCCTAACAACTGAAATCATCTAACATACTTGACACAATGTTTCAAAGGGTGTGTAAGCCAACTCAAATGCTTTCATAAACTACTTAACGAACTTCAACAGAAATCTCTATTAAAATAACTGAATAAACCTCCCAAAACTATCTGAATCCCACCGCCGAAAATGAAGCTAATCCGAAACGAGTTCAGAAAATGTTGTTGGTCAAGGATTCCATAGTTTCTTGCATTACGATGTTGTGAACATAAAGCAATCAGCAAAAATGAAATACATTCTAACCGGTTGAGCGAGAACACCTCCCAGCTGGACACAAGATCTGAAGCACTGAGCTTGTACTGTATGCAAAATGCCAGGCCTGATTATTGAGAAATTCGCACAGAGGAGAAGCGGCGTTAGAAATTTGGGGACAGTGTCCAATCACCAAAAGGATGAAATTACACGAAGAAATAACTCACATTGCGAGATAATTTTATCGGCATCATCCAAGATGAAGCCGTTCCTCGCGAACTCTGCTTTGATTTCGTCGTCCATTCTTGTGCGATCTGCAGCGGTCAGTTTCGATTACCAGCTCGCAGGAAAATGGCGGGATATATTTGCTTCCATTAATCATTAATAGATAGACCGTATCGATTTAGGGTTTTCTCAGTTTGCAGTTTGGTATCGTGTAGCTACGCGGGAATGAATTAAAATGTGTGGACTTTTTTAAACATTTTTTTTACATTTTTATTATATCACTTTATTATTTTCTTTATTGCTTGATTTGTTTCAACCTTCTACGTTTCAACTAGTAGTACGTGGTCCGTGCGATGCATGGACAAACAATATTACGATTTGTGTCATAAGTTAAATTTATAAATTACATTAATTATAATTCACCTATTGTTTTCAAAGCAGGACCGGACTGAATAGTCCGACAGAATAGATCAGTAACCAGTTTATTGGTCAATCCGATTTACTTAAATAAATTGTTTGTTTGTGAACCAATCAAAACCAATGATTGTGTCACAATCTAAATACATAAATAACATTTATTATAATTCACCTACTATTGTTTTCAAAACAGGGTCGGACCGAACACTTCGACCGAATAGACCGAGAACAAGTTTATCGACCAGTCCGATTTACTTAAATAAAATATTTGCTTGCGAACCGGTAAAAACCAGTCGGTCGAACTGGTAAGAGTAGTCCGATTTTTTAAATATATTGTTATCTATTTTTATCGTCGAATTTGAAAGTTTGGCTATTTTTTGCATAAAAAATTATTTATGTGATACGATTTATTCTTCCAAAATTCTAGATATTTATGTTAATGATGATATTGGTCATAGGTTGTTGATAAGGTATGTTTCCAAAAAAATATTAAAGAAAAAATGCAAGTAAATCTTATACAATTTTTAATTTTGAACCAAGAGGTGCTTTCTAAAAAATATTGATACCTATCAATAAGATCGTATAAATCTATTACTATAAAATACGGCTAAGAAAAATGTTTGAAAAACTCAAAAATAATTGTTCTATTTTTCCGCTTCAAATTCCCGCTTTTTTTTTAATAATTTTCATAAATCTCGCCCATGCATTTTGTTTTTGGTAAAAATCGGATGGTATTTGGTAGAAATCACTTGCTTATTTTTTGGAATCTATTATGTATATCAAAAAATCCGCTTCCTTTTTGTTTGCTAAATCCGATTAGATGTCACTTCCTTATATTTTGGAAGCGATTATGTATATCATCTAATCACGCAAAAAATAATCACCTGTATAATTCTATATCTCTAAACAAAAAAATCTAAGAAGTGAAACCAGCAACAAAATCCTAAATAACGGCTAAAATCACCCAATATGGAATAACCCAAACCAACAAAAAATAAAAAGAAACAAGAACCCTAAAGCTAGAGAATTTCCAAATAAATAAATAAATAAATCGCACTAGCTTTCCTCAATACAGATCTTTGAAACTCATTCAAAGACCAAAAGTAAGCAAAATCTTACCCAAATGCAAAACGACGTTGTTTGCAGGCGCCACTCTTGAATCTTGATAAGTTGCAAAAGGTGTTACAGAAAAAAGATTGATGAGTTCGTGAGAAGGATAAACAGCTGAATTAAAAAACCCAATTTTTCCGCCAGTTAATTTGTGTGCACCTTGATTGCCTTCTCCAATGCAGGTTGAGAGGAGCTGATGATGATGCTGAAAGCCAAGCGTCGAGTCCCTTTTTATTTTTTTGTATGCATAAAAATCTTATTTTTATTTTACTTCATTTTCTCCGTCCGAGCTGTCTTTTAATTAATATGCTTATTTGGTTAATTGAGTTAATTACCTTTTTTAGTTAATAAGTTTAATTTTAAACATGATTGGCATTTAAAATACGGTTACAAAAATGGAACTTTAGTAGGGTGAGTGGGAAGAGATTAATCAGGATGAGGTTTGCAATTATTGAGATGAAATCATGGGACTAGTTATAAATATATTAATATAGACATTACTAATATATAATTGGGTCTGAAGTCCATTAGTTGGGAAAATTAGGTTTTAGGGTTTCTCTCTTGTAAACTGTATAAAAGGGTGATATACCGATGAATAAAAAAACACACTTTTCTGCTTCTCTTTTATCGTTCTCTTTACTGCACATCTTTTATGATGCACATCTTTTATGCTTGGATTGATGGATGCTTGTTGAAGATTAAGAGTTCCAATTTACAACACGTTATCAGCACGCTCTAGTTCGTTATTGGTATTACCCTAGGAAAAAATCGTGTTTTTCCTGCAAAGTATTTTTTAGATTTGTTTATTTCCCTCAATTCATAAGTACTTCATGTTTCATGAACGGCTTCAGTGCTCTGTTTTCGAGATCTGGTTATTTCCATCAATTCATAGTATTTCATGTTGAATGAAATGGCTTCAGTGCTCTGTTGCCTCCTATCTTCCAAACCGCCTCAAAATTTTCCCAAAAAAAAGTCACAAAATTCAAACCCGATAAAAAGAAAAAGAATTATGCTCCAAATCCAACAATCATGAATTTCAATCTTATGCCCACATGTTTTTTTTTTTTTATTTTCTTGTTTCATGATTTATGGCATTAATTTAATTATGATGTTCCCTTCTGATATGTGTTTCGGCAATTAAATCGTTGAATTGTTATTGATTGGCTTGGTTGAATATGAATCTCGGTCTTTTTTTTCTGTGTTTTTGGATTGAGATTAAAGATTTCTAATTCACTCGATATTCGAGTCGGGCTTGTATCAGTGCTAAAAAAAGATTTATTTTGTTTGAACATGGCGAAAGATCAAATCTTTATTATGTGAACACCACTAGATTATGCACTACAGAACATTTGGGAGTTGTTACAGTCTGAGATGTTGAGCTTATAGGATTTCCTGGATTGTGGTGAATTTATCTGGTGGGTCATATGTGAAGTTTTTCTTTCTAGATTGTTTATGCGCCCACGGAGCGACAGATATTGCAAATAGCATAGTTGTTAAATTCTCCTAACATAGCTTCTTGTTTATTAAAAACCTGCTCTATGTGACATTACGGCATTTTTATTTGTTACACAATTACTCGATGAGATTATAGTAGCAGTATGTTTGACAGATTACAAATCTAAATTCTCAGTTTCATGGATTTATTTTACCTTTTAAAGTTATCATTTATAATAAATGTCCTTCAATAATCATATTGAGTTTGTATTGAACAAATTGTAGATGTCTGATATCACTAAAAGAGAATTTGTTGATCTTGCTCTTGATGGGAGTAATTATTTAACTTGGGCCTTGTTGTTGAGATTCACCTGGCCTCATTCGATTTAAGTGCCACAACTGACTCCACATCTCAAAGCACTCCCGCCCAGAAGGCGAGGGCATTGATTTTTCTTCGTCACCATCTCAATAAAGATTTGAAAAATGAATATCTCACTGAAAAAGAGCCCACCGTTCTTTGGAAATCCCTGAAGGATCACTTTGACCAACAAACGGCCATAATTCTCCCTCAAGCTCAATTTGACTGGCTTAATCTTCGATTTCAGGATTTTAAATCCGTCACTGAGTATAATTCGGCCCTACATCGTATTGTTTCACAGTTGAAACTCTGTAAGCAGAACATTAAAATGGTTGAGTTGCTTGAAAAGACTTTATCAACTTTTCATGCTAACAACCTTGTACTCCAGCAGCAGTATAAGGCTAAGAACTATGCAACGCATTCTGAGCTGATTTCAGCCTTGCTTGTGGCCGAAAAACACAATCAATTGTTGATGGAAGAAAAATCATAATGTTAGGCCGGTTGGAACTCATGTTGTGCCTGAAGCACATGCGACTACTCACGGTCACCATAATGTGCGAGGGAGAAGTCGAGGATACCATACCCAGCAACCTCGTGGTGGACGTGGTCGTGGACGTGGTTGTGGCCGATTTTGAGCTCGAGATGAAGGGAGAGGTCATGGTGATAACGTCCCGGGTGGTCATAGAGAGAACTTGAACATTGAGGCGGATCGTTTAAATCGACACGATTCACAACCACAACCTAAAGAGCAAAAGCATGTTTGCTTTAGATGTGGATGCGATGGTCACTGGTCCCGCACATGTCGTACTCCTCGACATCTGGTTGAGGCCTATCAAAGAATGCTCAACGGTAAGAAAGGAAAGGCCCCTCAAGGTGAATCACATCATGCTAGTTTGCCTGAAGCAAATTTAGCCATCAATAATGGTGATGATGATTTATTGCAGCTCGAACTCGAGGACTATGGTGATAATGTGTGATTAATATGCATTCTATCTTAGAACTGGATAATTTTATTTCATGGTTTGTTTTATGCTATTTAAACTATTCTGTTTTTTTTTTTTTTTTTTTTTTTTTTTTTTTTTTTTTTTTTTTTTTTTTTGTTTCGTCAGACATTTGTGGTTTGTTTTTGCTATTGGTGTTTTTCATATGTTATGATTTGATTGGGATTTCATGATTGTTGGTTTGCTTACAATGTTTTACTTTTCTTTTAGTGTACCACAACCATTCATTAGTTTGCATCTAATGGAAAAAGAGGGCATTTTATGTCTGGTCGACAGTGCTACTACGCATACTATCTTGAAAGATAGAAATTTTTTTCAAACTTTAAATGAAAAGAAAGGAAGTGTTTCTACAATTGCTCATGATAAAATCTTGATAGTAGGCTCCGGCAGAGCTTTACTTACTCTTCCTAAGAGTACTGAATTAATAAATAACGATGCACTTTTGTACCCTGAATCACAAAGAATACTTCTTAGTTCTAAAGATATTCGGTCTAATGGCTTTCATATTGAAACTAAGACTGAAAACAATATAGAGTATGTTCTTATGACTCATTCACAGGGAAGTCAAAAGAAAATTATAGAAGAACTTCCCTCTTTCTCCTCAGGCTTGTACCATACTTACATTCGACATTCTATTAATCATGTTGCATTGAGCTTAAAATTTAAAGACCCAAATTCATTTAAATTATGGCATGAGCGACTGGGTCATCCTGGGCTTAGTATGATGCGTCGAATTATTTCTAACTCTGTTGGGCATGCTGTATCAAACAACAATCTCCCTTCTTTTAATGCATTTATTTGTGATGCTTGTGCAATGGAAAATTAATATTAAAACCTTCACGTACTAAAATTGGAATTCAATCTCCTATGTTCCTTCATAGAATTGAAGGTGATATATGTGGTCCTATTCATCCCACTTCGGGACCTTTTCGATATTTTATGGTATTGATAGATGCTTCCACTCGATGGACATATGTGTGTTTATTATCCACTAGAAATCAGATTTTTCCAAAGCTCCTTGCTAAAATTATTGAATTAAGAGCTCAATTTCTTGATTATCAAATTAAAACTATTAGAATGGATAATGCCGGTGAATTTATATCGAAAGCTTTTGATGATTACTGTATGTCACTGGGCATTAAAGTGGAGAATCTGGTACCTTATGTCCATACACAAAATGGTCTAGCCGAATCACACATTAAGCGCATCAAATTATTTGCTAAACCGTTGTTACAAAATTCCAACTTACCAATTTCATGTTGGGGACATGCAATTTTACATGCTGCTGCTCTAATTCAAATTCGACCTACTGCATATTATGATTACTCCCCTATACAGCTAGTGCGTGGTAAAGAACCCAAAATTTCCCATCTGCGAGTATTTGGTTGTGCAGTCTATGTTCCCATATCACCACCACATCGTACCTCTATGGGCCCTCATAGGAAGCTAGGTATATATATTGGCTATGAATCTCCGTCTATTCTCAAATACCTAGAGCCCATGACTGGGGATCAATTTACAGCTCGGTACGCTGACTGCATATTCGATGAAGAGAATTTTCCGGCATTAGGGGGAGATAAAAGCCCAAACTTAAATAAATGCCGAGAAATTTCTTGGAATGTAGAAAATCGACAATATTTAGATCCACGCACTAATCAAATTGAACTTGAAGATCAAAATATAATTAATTTGCAATATTTAGCAAATAATTTGCCAGATGCATTTACTGATCATAAAAGAGTGACAAAATGACATGTGCCTTCTATAAATGCACCACAACGAGTGGAAGTCCCTATGAGAACTAATATTCCTACATATGCTCCACGCCAGAAGCGTGGTAGACCCGTTGGTACAAAAGACAATAATCTACGGAAAACGAAATCTAATAAGAATATTAAATCACTCCTGAATTCTCCAGAAGAGAATCGTACTGAAGGCGAAAATCCTAGTTAAATGCACGTGAAACAAATAATAAAAATACTAGGATTGCGGAACATCCAGATCAAAATATATTGAGAAATGATGAAGATCTGGTTGATGTGAATATTGAAGTAGCTACGAATTTTGTTTATACAGGAGAAACTTATAATAGAAGTAACATAATTGTCGACGACACATTTGCCTCTATAGTTGCCTTTACCATCTCTAATAATCTGGATCCAGAACCTAAATCAATTGCAGAGTGCTGGAAGCGCTATGATTGGGTAAGATAGAAAGAGACAATTGAGGCTGAACTAGACTCACTAAATAAACAAAAAGTTTTTGGCTCTATTGCACGTACACCTCAAAATGTTATTCGAGTAGGATATAAATGAACATAATGATGTGGCGAGATACAAAGCGAGTTAGTGGCTCAAGGGTTTTTGCAGAGACCCGGTATTGATTTTGATCAAACATATTCTCCTGTAATTGATGGAATAACGTTCCGCTATTTTATATCTCTGCAGTAACTATGAATTTAGATATGCAGTTAATGGATGTCGTGATCGCATATTTGTATGGGTCACTAGACACAAATATATATATATAAATCCCTAAAGGATTAAAGATTCCCGAAATAAGGGAAAATGAAACGCTCAACATGTATAGCATTAAATTACAAAAGTCATTATATGGCTTAAAGCAGTCGGGTAGAATGTGGTACAACTGGCTGAGTGAATTTTTGTTGAAAAATAATTATGTGAATGATGATGTGTGCCCTTGTGTGTTTATAAAGAAGTCAACAAATGGCTTTTGCGTCATTTCAGTTTATGTCGATGACATAAATATAATTGGCACACGAGAGGAGCTTGATAAAGCTAGCTCATGCCTAAAGACGAAGTTTGAAATGAAAGATTTGGGTAAAACAAAATATTGTCCCGGCCTGCAGATCGAGCATCTCTCTGAAGGAATATTTGTACACCAGTCAACCTACTTGAAGAAGGTTTTAGAAAAATTCTACATGGATAAATCTCATCCACTTAGCACACCAATGGTTGTCCGATCCCTTGAAGCGGATAAGGACCCATTTAGACCTAAAGAAGATACCGAAGAAAATTTAGGACCAGAAGTACCTTACTTGAGCTCCATTGGCGCGTTACTTTATCTTGTAAATTGCACCAGACCTGATATTGCATTTGCAGTAAACTTGCTAGCAAGGTTTAGTGCTTCTCCTACGATGAGACACTGGAATGGTATTAAACATATTTTTAGGTATCTTCAAGGTTCACAAGATCTTGGTTTACTTTACAAGAAAAATCAAGATATGACATTGGTGGGCTATTCGGATGCTGGTTATATGTCTGATCCCCATAATGCTAGATTCACAGACTGATTATGTTTTTCTTTGTGGTGGTACTGAAATAGCTTGGAAGTCGGTCAAGCAATCCATGGTTACTACATCTTCAAACCATTCAAAAATAATTTCTTTATACGAGACTTCACGCGAATATGTATGGTTAAGAGTTTTTTTCGGTACAATAAAGGAGGCCGTAGGCCTATGCTAGAAGCTGCCGGGAATAAGACACCCCCATGTTATCATGCTGCAGCCAAGCTCCGAGTCCTGTAGGCATGGACACAACTCGATGTAGACCAGGAGGATATGATACCGCCAAGCTCGCCATGTGGTCAGCAGCGAAATTCTTCTCGATGAACATGTTGGACTCTAACCTCCCAAGTCCATAAGATCAAAGCGTGGATGGCATTAACCATCGATTCGTGGACACCAAAAAAACCATCTGGCTGAGATACTTCAATTTTTAAGGTCTCTCTGAACCAAATATAAAAAAGATGAATGGTGCCGCAACCCTACCGATTACTGTCTGCCACGCCAGAACGATGACATTTGACCCCGACGATTCTCGACATGACACAGTTTTTCCTGCTTTGGATCATAACAATATCATGGTGGCCAAAAGGTCTAAAACGCTCAAGCGCGCTGGTGATTTGTTGGAGAGACAGTCCCCCCCGCGCCACGCCTCGCTGCCTCCTGCCACAAGTCCGGGCATTCCGAACACGAAATGGTCTTTTCGAGACATGATTACTATGCAAAGAAACCATGTGGATCTGCTATCTGATGATGAAGGAAAAGAGACTGAAGAGGAGGCGGAGGAGGTCACGGTGGATCTCGCTCACCCTCTGCCGGAGTTACGGATTACGCAACCTTTTTTTGATCGCATTAATAATGAGTGGAGAAATGCAGTAATGATAAAACCGTTTGATGAATCGCTTACTATGGCATCCTTGTACAACCGGCTCACTAGGATGTGGCCTTTCTTGGCGGGGTGCAATATGATGGACCTCGAGAATGGTTTTTACTTGATCCACTTTCGCAAGCACGAGGACACTGTCACTGTACTTACTAGAGAACCATATGTTGTCGGCAATAGCTACATGCACGTCCAACCCTGGACTCTTTCGTTTGATGCTATGAATGAGGAATTGACAACTACGGTAGCGTGGATTAGGTTGCCCGGAATGCCGGCCCATTTGTATCATCAGAATATATTCCGTATGATCGGGAAAATCGTGGGTAAGGTAGTAAAAATTGACCAACAGACTGCAGCCTTAACTCGAGGGAAATATGCCCGGCTTGCCGTGATGGTGGACCTGAATAAGCCGCTGTGTGTACAGTTTAACATCAATGGGAAATGCCAAAAGGTGATCTATGAGAATTTACCTACCATATGTTTCCACTGTGGGCGGATTGGCCACTGAGTCACAGTTGTCTTTATCGACCGGTTGAGCCCGCTCAAGAAGGCAACAAGGACAGTCGATTGACCGGAACACAAGGAGTGGTAATGATGTTGATGTTGGTTTGGGGAGTAAGAAAGGGAGTGTGGCAGTTCGGTGGAGTCGGTGTATGGGCCTTAGATTCAGGTACCATAACGTCAACGGCAGCCATACACGAAGTGCGATAAGGGCACAGATAAAACACCATCCACGAGGAATCCACGCGCGACAATGGGGACGGGCTCTCGGTTCTAGATGTTGGACAGTGAAGACATGCGGGACACAAATTGCTCGTTCAAATTCGGCGCCACATTATCCAAGAAGAATGGGGAATCTACTGTTGTGCACGTGCATAAGGCGACTGAGACGGACGAAAAAGATTGGCGTCAAGTGAGGGGCCGTGGAATGCATAAGCGTAAAACTACAGTGGGAAGTAAAAATCTGGGCAGTGTATCGGGGCGAGAGATGACCAATAATACCACGGGAAACATGGAGCTTGAGCGTGAGGAAATCTAGACACGTGGGAAAGAAAAAGTCCAAGAGGAGAACGTGACCATGATCAATGATGAAACCAAACACCCGGACACATATCCGAATCGTACACACCATGTCATAGTCGACGCTGGACTGGACCCGCTTAAACACCAAGCATTCGTCGTGGTAGAGGAAGCTGGTTCTTTGACCCCGGGTCGGTCCCATTTTCCACCCCTCCCTGGCGACGCGTCGAATGAGGTATTTATGACGGAGGGGGAGCAGAATATCTGACATCAGGAGCCATGGCCGGAGGACCAACTGACGGATGGCGGGGATGAAGGAGAATGCAAAGAGCGTATGTGCCTGGATGAGGGCTCGGACACGACTGTCCAGTCCCTCGATCAATAAAGAGCGATTACTCTCTGTATCTTTGTGTCGTTATGAATATCGTCACTGTTGGGTTCTATTAGGAACGTCGACAATGTGCACATTCAAATCTATTGAATAATAAATCCTAACGCAGCGGAATCTATAGTTAGGATTAGGACTTACGGTTTAAAAATTTTTGCCGACTCTGAGACGTTTCTGATTTCCGTTGATGGAGATCGTCTGAACACCAAAGTCTAATGGGCAGCTAGACTTGGCCTTTCTCAATTCTAATCGAGTCACCATGGTGCTCCAATCGTTCATCAAGCTCATCGGATCGTCTCGGACCTTCGGTAAGTGAATCGGACTCCTCGGACCACTCGGGAACCGCCTTGGACACGAACCGGAGCTGCTGGATCCACCTGAACTGGGTTGAACCATGCTGCCACGCTGCTGGGCCGATCTGGAGCTGCATGGACCGCCTGGACCGAGTTGGGCGCGATCTGGGCTGCCTGGAGCGAGTGGACTCCACCTGGGCCACGCTGGAAGCAACTGGGCTGAAATCTCATCGCTGTTGGGCCGCAAGAAGGAGCTGGGCCAACACGCGGGTCGTGCGCAAGTGAAACTGGGCCGCACTGCTGAGGATGGAACGCGGGCTTAGATCGGGCTTGGCGCGGGCTGGACTCAGAGGGAAAATCGGGCCGCGCGCGGGCCATATGCGGGCCTGAAAGCCCGCGCGCCTGAAACCAAAAAAATATCCTATTTCCGCAAGGAGAAGGATTGAACCCGCGACCGCGCATGGAGAAAGAAGCGCGCACACCACTGCACCAAACGCCAGGTTGTGGTAACGGAACTTGAAGGACCGATGAAAAACCTGAACACGAACAAGATGCTGGGACCTGGGCAGTGTGCGCGAACATCTGCTGGGCTGCGGGAATTTTGTACTGAAAATCTTGGCCGTGAGTTGGTGATATCCGACGGAAAAAATAATATATCTAACGGGACACGAATCAACAACCTTCGATC